CCAAGCGAAACGGTGGCCACCTCCCTCGGCTCACCCTACAAACGGCGGGGGGGGGAAAAACCCGGCATTCGGCTTAGTTTCCAAGCTAGGGTTTGCGGGCAGCAAAAAAGTCTCGCTGTTCGCAGCCGGTCAGGCGAAAGTTCACCAGCCCCTGTCGGTAGGCTCCGGCTGCCTCCTGAATCCCGAGTTACGAAGCGGCGGCGCTAACAAAGAAACCGGGGCTCGGAGCAACCCGCGGAGCGTTATCTGCCTGGTGCGGCAAGCAGCCGAGGCGGCCGGCTTAGTGGCGGCCAGGTTCAGACTTTAACAGTTTCCTCGTCCTAAGAGCTGCTAGATGAAGTTGCACTTCTGGGGCCGAGGGGCGTGTTCTCCTGCTCTCGCCCGCCCGGCGAGTCCCTGCCTGCTGTAATCCAACGCTCATCCTGATGATGTCAAGCAGCTACTGCTCGGCTTCTACCTTACAGCAGGCAGGAGGGATCGATTTCCTTCTCGCGGAGGTCTTTGTTTAGCTTCGCCTTGTAACCTCATCTCCCGGCAGCTGCGTGTGCCCAAACATCCTTCCTTCGGTTTTCAGCACTGGCGCTTTTGTTGCAAGATGCAAGATGCTTCCTTCTTGCGGCGGCGGCTGGAGCGGCCCCCCTGCCCCCTCGGCGGCTCCACCTGTTAGCTGCGGCCTTGTGTCGCTCCTCGGCTGCGCCCCGGTCTTGAGCCCGTCCAGCAGGGCCCCAAAGGCACCCTCGCTCCCCGTGCAGCATGCCCAGCCTTACCGGGCAGAAGGCAGGGGAAGCGCCGCGCAGAAAAATAGCTTCGTGTCCAAGACTGAGGGCGCCTTTTGCTCCGTAGAGTCCCGCAGGATGTGATATGCTCCATAAAAGCCACGCGCGCTTCGGGTCATCTGCCCCTGCCCCAAACCCCTTGTTTGGGGGTGAGATGCAGAGCTGGTGTCAGTACTGCACCCAAATTTAACAGGGGGGAAGGCGGTTAGGGCAAGCCAATACTGTGTATTGAGCACCTATCTTTGCGTTCAGGCTGCTGCGAGGCAGAGCCTGGGGGCCCTCAGCGAGATCTGGGCCGTTCCACGAGCAGAGGTAGTTTTGGCTGCTTTCGTCCATATCAGAGGCCCAGGAACGTCCCTCTCTGCGGCATCGACCTCCCTAAGTCCTGTCAGCCTTGGAGGCAACACCAGGTGACTGACAGCAAAGGAACAAGCTGACTGCAGCGCTGTCTCTCTACTCTTCCTCCTGGCCCACGCTCCTACATAGCCTTAACAGCACGGTGGAGAGGTGCGTGAATACTCAAATGAGAAAGACATTACCGTTTATATATGGTTTGCTACTGCCCAAATGCTGCAGTTGGAACCAGGGCCCCTTAATGCTAATTGCTTTGCCTGGAGATTGCAAGACACAGCCCATCCCTGCTGTAAGGACACGAGCCACAACCTTGTAAAGGGGACAATAAGTGGACATGGCTCAACTGGGGAGCGTGAAGGATATTTGCAAAGGACCTGATTCAATCCCCACTAGAGCCATGGGAGCTTTTCCATTGGGCTGCGTGCAAAGTGAGCGATCTGAGCTGCGAGAACTTGGCTCTCCCAACCAGCCATCTTGCTGAGCAGAAGACAGATATAAAACCAGGATTTCTCTCATCCTGCAGCTCTTGCATGGCAGATGGGCCTTGGAGTCATTCAGCCCCAGGCTTGCCATCTGCCTCCAAGCTGGCTAAGAGAACCAGCATTCTCCCTCCACCCCAGGCCGGGCTGCTAAGCTGGACCTGCTCCACCTCCCTTGGTGGTCGCCTCTGCCAGTGAGAGACTCTGTTCGTGTGCACCAGAAAATGAGCTGCTCATTGTGATATATACTCACGCTCCCTGCCATCACGTGCCAGAAGAAAGAAAAAAATGCCAACAAAAGAAGCGGCAGTGCAGGAAACGCCCTGATGACTATAACGAGGCACTGAGGAAGGGGAAAAGACCTCAATAAAGCACAACATACTCATGCTCAGTGTAGCCTGTGAGCCCCAAACTGACCTGACTAGCTCTGTCTCTCGATTCCATTCTATTTTGTTTCAAAACAGGCACCAGGAAGCCAGTTTGATTTTCAGAGATGTATCGTTTGACAGAAACTAATCTCTCTGGTACTTTTGAGTCATGCATTATTACCTACCTGAATGTAACAGTAAGCACTTCACCGCAGAGCACAAAGTGCTGCCTGTCTTCATTAGGGACGCAACTGATGGAGGAGGGCTCTGCCACACTATGCCAAGATATCAGCTCTCCAGACCGTAGCCTCAGGAGATTGCTCAGCTGATCCAGCAAAGGCTGAAGCTTTTGTGTTTATTCCAACTCATATTTGAAAGAAATCCAGAAGACAAAAGCTTTTAAACTAACACTTAGACTGCAGGGTCTGAAGGCCAAATGTTGTCATGGGCTTGTAAGGATACAAATGCCTACCACAACAGCAACCCAGACGTTTTCAGACCAAATGATGCAATGCATGCGCTGTATAGCAATGATAGTAACAAAGCACTTCAGAAATCCTGGAGCATGGTGTACTAACTTTGCTTTTTAAATAAGATTTCTCTTAACTATATATCATATTCAGACCTCCTGATCCTGTGTATCTGGTCCTGGGAGCAACCCTGTCAGAAGGGTCCTTCCTTTCTTCCATGCACTCATGTGTCCTTACAGTGACCTCCTCATCTAAGACTATCTCCACAAGGACTGGTCAAATATTTTCCATCAAAACTCTTTTTAAGTAGAAAAATGCAGCTTGGGATGAAACTATTTTCCACAGAATGTACCTTTTTCCTGCAAGGAAGAAAGTCCTGAGATGCCAAAATGTTTTCAGTTTCTCTGAAATCTTAACACGTTAGGATAAAAATGTATGGTGTTCAATGTATTTATTCTTATTATTTTTAAAGGAAAGTTGACATTTTTCTCAGGAAATCCACCCTAATTTCTAGCTAATTCTCAGGTTCACCGTCTCTTGTCCTATTGCTTCCTATAGGATGTAGGAAACTTTGGTGTCCCAGAGACCCCAAGACATTCATCCTGTGGTACCGACTATAAATAAATGAATAAATGCTGTTCCTATCCCACCATAATGAGAACACATTATAAATGCCTGGCATGCTAGGCACTGAATGATAGATTATATTATAGGGTTGAGCGGACCAGCTCAACTAAAGCCACAATCAACCTTTAATGGCTTTGTGTACTTTTCTATGCTTTTTACTCCAGTTGACTAATATGCTTGCCTTTGGTGCTGTTTTTGCCGTTTTTTGCATCCAGCTGCTTTATGCTGTGCTTTCCTGCATGGTCTAGGATGGCTGTTAATGGCATTGCCACTCTGGCCAACAGGGGGTTCGGTTTTGCTCTGTTATGTTGCTTCTGCCTGCTGCGGGCTATGCAGTTGGTCTGCAGGGAGCTGCAGGGATTTTTGTTCAGCTCTTCGATGCTCTGCATCAGAGAACGGGGTTGGAGACCAGCACCACAAGAAAGCCCCTGGACTGACTGTTGCCCTTTAGCTTGTGACCAAAAGGAGGAAAGGCAAAGTCAGAGCAATCTTTTAGAACAAGTGTCAACATTAGGTGAGAGAATCCCTAAGGGTGATAATGTCAAGAAAACAATCCACAGAGCAGCGCGACGGTGCTTGATTGTGCACTGCGTGTTCCGGCAAGAAAAACAAACAACACAAGTGTCCAGGAACCTCCGAAGCACAAGGAGACAATCTGTCATTTCAGGAAGAACTGACCTGATTCTGACCTGAACGTTGTGCAGGCTGAGCCTAGTTTCCCTGAGAAGCTAGTGCTGCCATTGTTAGAGCAGCATTGCAATAGCTCTCTGGTTATATTATTATGCCTTCTCATATAAATGAAGCATTCCACTAAATTTCCCAGGCGCAGAGCTGTGCCCTAACTACATTTGTCACTTGATATGATCAAAATTGCAAGGAGATATGGAATGGTGAAAAATAGACATGGAAAAAATGTGGTAGATGATTGATTTTTTTTTTCCAGACTTCCATCCCTGCCCCCCCCCCTCCCCACGAAAACACATTCTTTAAATAAACTTTTGATCAGAAAATGCATAGCTTATTTCAACAGTCTGCTGGGCTTCTTAAAGAAAGCGTGGATGTCTTAAGCCATCAAATAACATCTTACACTCTGAGAACCATAAGAAGAGAAGAATCTGAAAAAAGCAGCTTTAGTGACAAACTACTCTTTTCACTGTCCCAAATCCAAAAGAATGGACACTGTTTGTCGTGGATTAAGGAAGAGACAGCGGGTATCAATATGTCTGAATGAAATATTTGATGTTCAGACCAATTCACTTTTTACAGAAGTTGTTAATCTGGAAAGGTTCATCAACAAGTGAAATGCAAAAAAGCCTGTAATGAGGCTAAACTCCTTAGTAAATGATCTCAGGGGTCACCTTTACTGATGGCCAGGGTCTAACGGTGAAGTCTGACTGTGGAGAGCTCTCACGGCGCGGCAGCACTGGGAACGGGTGGACGTGCGCAGCCTGAACGGGCCACTTCGGATGCTCTGGCAAAGCAGCTCAGCGCAGGGCTGACGTGCCAGCAGGGCAGAGCACTCTCAAAAACTGTTTACTTTGAGCTGAAGCTATTTTTAGCCCCAGTAATCTGTGCGGAGATGATAAAGCTTTTCACTGCAAAGTGAGTGGCTGTGCTTTGCTTCTGGGCAATTTCACTCCACAAGTGCATCCCATCCGCCTTCCCTGCCACTACTCCCAGGGAATCTTATCTTCCCTGCCTGTGGAGTTCAATGCGTCTAAAAGGCTTGTCCCAGCTAGATAGCTATTTGGCGTCTCAGCCCAAACTTATTTTCTTTGTTTGAGACAAGCAGGTCTCAAATTCAGATCTCACGGTAAGCCAGAATCACCATTCAATGACAGCACTATCTTATGCCATGTTTTACCCAGAAGTATCCCAACGCCTGTTACAAACTACCTTACACACGCTATAGAAGAAGTACTTTACCTGCTGCTGATAGGAGTAAGTGTGGCAGCCGGTTAGCAGCATAAAGAATGCAAAATAAGCATGAATCCTGCTTGTTAAGGGATTTGTTTGTCTAAAGGGATCCAGAAGCTTCTTCAGTATAAACCCACAAAGGTCACACATCCAGCACATGCTTCATCAGAAAATCATCCCACTGGCAAAAGCTTTCTTGTTGTGACACAAGATGAATATCAACATCTCAGTTCAGGGACATAATTGGAGAAGAGGAGACATGCAAGTATTAATTAGACAGACAAGTTCATTCCTGATGACTTCTACTTGCCAAGAAGGGGTTGACATAGAAAAAGAGCTAAAACGAGTGTCAGGCTGAGAAGGTACTACAGCAGACGTATTACTTCCGTTACTCAGAGTTGTTCAAGAGGGCTGCGTGCGACTGACTGTTCAGGTCTTACCAAACGAGAAGCAGGAGTTCCTCAAAGGTCCACGCACGGGCATTTCATCTTTTTCTCTCTCTGTTTCTGTTAAACGGGATGTTAGAAGACATTAAGTAGCAGGCTAGGCTGGCAAGCCTACTTCTCCTTTCTGGAGAGCAAAGGGGAATGCTAATAAATGAGAAGAAATTAGTCGTCTCTGTCAGCTTTATAATCTATGCCGCAGCCACCCAGCCAACAGTTAGGATTTTTTCCCCAGCGTTTGGCAGCCAAACGAGGATTCCTGTTGCAGATGTGCAGAAGCCCTGGAAATGTTTTGGTCCTGACTTGTGCTCCCAGCTCAATGGGCTTTCACATGATTTGACTCCATGGACTCTGACTGGGGTGCTTCTGGGCTGTGCTGGTGACAGATCAAACTCAGGCAATTAGTCCTCTGCTGTGAGTCAGAGGACTGTCAGAGGACTTCAAGCTTCAACATATATACTCACTCTCTACCTAAGGTCAGGAAAAAATTCAGCTTAACCTCCTGGCATGATTCTCTGCTTTCCATATCGGCTCATTAAGGGATGCATATGTAACTAGATGATGCTCTGCCTTCTCATGAAGCAGCTGGCCACTGCAGCAGACAGGATAAGCTCAATAAGGCAATTCCTACATCCTGTGCCATCCCATGCCCTTAGACGCACTGCAGCTTATCTCTTCCAACTGTTTCCAAGGCCATAAAGACGAAGATTGGTGAGGTGCAGTGTGCCTCCGGAGCGTGGTCTGAAATCAGTGGGAGTTCAGCGCAGTTCATAGGAAGGACTCCGTGTTCTGGCTGGGGAACAAAATATTCTGTTTGTGTTAACAGTGTATGTGAAATAAAAACAAGATTTGCCAAGTAAGCTGGGAGCATTTCACAGAGGCATTGGATACAGCCCTGTGCTCTCACCACAATACTCTGTGTGATCTGCCCTATATGTTGCAAGCCATCAGTCCTACTGTCATATCCTTATTTTCATGTGGACGATAGTTGGCCATCCTGCTAAAGCATGTTCAAGGGAGCAAGCTGTACAACAAGCTAAACAGCTGCAAAAGGGCCAACTATATCGATGGCTGCTTTGCAAGCTGCCCTTCTCAAGCCGGACATAGTTGCTGGAACCTGAAAAGCTGACTAACTGAGTGAGCTGTTAAGCTAAGGGATGGTGTACCTCACTGGTCTTGTACCGCAAAATTACTACCCGAAAAGGCCCTCAGCTCGCTCTGTCGCTATGGCAACCAGCAAGGAACGCCATCTCAGTGTTCGGACAAGAGGTGTGCGCTTCGCAACAGCACTGGGCTTCCCTGCAGAAACGAGGGCTCACACAGAATAACCAGGAGGAAAAATCCTACGTATTTTGACTTAGATGCTTTTTTAGTTATTATTTATCCAAGTCACGAGGCGCTGTACCATATCATTAACAAAACTGTTATATCTCAGCTCTCTTAAATGATGAGCTGAACTAGAATGGAGCTAGTTGGGCACCTAGAAACGTTCCTTTAAGCCTTTTCATTGCTATGGGAAGTTCATCCCCAGCTCTCTCCAACAGCGCCACCAAACCCGCTACTTTTCTTCTGAACGCAGAAGGTCACCCGCTTTTCAGTATCTAAACCAATCTGGGAAGCAAGTCCCAGCACGCAAGGGCGCCCACAGGGATTGCTCTGCTAGCTGTCACCTTGCTGGCTAATAATCGCGTGAAACAGAGAACCAGAATTAAAGGAACAACAGACCCCTTTTCCCGTCTTCATTTGCAGGGAGGAAAAAAAGACTCATTAAATCGACTGGTTTATTTGAGAAATTTAAGACACAAAACTAAGAGAAACCTCACAGACTTGATACTGACATGTTGCCTGTTGAAAGGGGTCCTGCTTGCCCTGGGAACAAGTGTTTACTGAACAAGGACGGTTCAGCCTGGAGCCCCGCTACATGGAGAACCTGGTGCCTCTGGGCTGAATGGGAGGTATATAGTGCTCTAACTAGTAATTACACTGCACAGAGAAAGCTCACGCAAACCAAAGAGCTTACTCCATTTCTAAGCTGGAGTAAACTACTATACATTAGGAATCTTTACCCCAGGAGTTAATGTCGAGTGACTTGTGTGCTGCAAATCTCATCTTAATTTGCTGCATACTGACTTCCTCATGTAAGCAGGTCATTTAGGCAGGCCTTACGGTATGCTCACCACTACTTGTTCACCACTACTTCCAAGTGGGACACCGCCACAGTCGAAACAATTTAACTATGCCTCCTGGTAGGGACATAGCACAGCAAGAGCCAGGCCCTGATGCTGACATTGCCACTGTCAATGATGGGACCCAAACAAGCCAAGTTTGGGAAGCTGTTAGGCGTCGTCTTTCATCATTCAGCATTTTCAGTTGAGTCCATTTAGTTCCAAGCTGGGTAATTACAGCCTCCTCATTATTTTTTTTACCCTGAAGACAAGACTGTAAGCCAGGCAGAATAATTCCTTTTGTCACAGTTGCCAAGATGTGACAGTACATCTACCCCATGAGGAATGCATCATGGTATCACTTTTATTAAGTGTAAATAAGGGCTCTTCTGTTAGGCAACATTTTAACATTATCAGGATTGAAGGTTAAAAGGGTAAGTAAATTTTAGCCCCTACTGACAGATAATTGAACAGAGATTATGACTGCCCAGCACAGTCATTGTTGACCCAGATGTGTCAGGTTTTGCGCATTGTTATCTTCTACTGAAATTGGTATCCTGCTACAACCAGATTTCATTCTAAAACCACAAAGACCCACCTAAAAATAAGACATCAAAGTTCCCATGACAGTAAATAGAGGCCAGGAGCACTGGAGTGGTAATTCATTCTATCCGAAGGCAGATCAGATATCAGCAAGCAACTCATCCTGTCTGTCCATCTTCACTGATTAAAGAGAAAGCTCGATAAACTAATGTAGATTAGAAACTTACCTTTAAGGTGGCTTCAGGTCAGTGAGATGAAACCATCCCAGCAGTGAAGTGAAAAGAGACATCACGTTTATGCTGTTGCATCTTGCCAAAGGTTCTGTATTCCTGCAAAGACTGTTTTTCACCCTAGAAATGGCTCATAGTACAGTGAAAACTTCTGAAATACCCACTAACACCCGCATGTCCATTTCTATTTTGCTTTAATGACTGCCGCACAAAATTATCTGAGGACTAATGCTAAACATAAGCTTGGAAAGAAAAGCGTTGGAAAGAAAATATCCACGAGAACTGCATTACTGGCCTGTGAGGGTTTTGCATCAGCCCTTAACAACTTAGTAACAAATACAGTTATACTAAAATGCATTTTTAATTAAGAATTGTAAGCCCTCTTTTAGAGTCTGACTAAACACCTTTTCCAGTATTTCAAAAGGACAGAAAATTTGGAATGGAGTTATTATTTACGTTAGGGGACAAATACTTTGCTACAGACACTGAAATGTCTACAGAGGCCAAGCTTGGAAATGTGCCCTATTTGTGTTTTCAATGAACTCTTTTAACAGCTTTTGAAAAAATGTGACACCCTCCCCATATGTTTTAAATTTTTTAATGTGTGAATTTTTAGTAAAGGCTCAGTGCTCCTAAATGTGTTCTGTAGCAGGAAACCAGTTTGTAAGATCTCGTGACAAACCAGCACTCAACTCTCACTTTTCACTCTTCCTTCCCCTCTAAAATGAGGCTAGTGCACGTGAGCCTTGTCACAGTTCTTGCCCAATACTGTCCCTGTGAATTTGCTTGATTTAGTCTCTCTCAAGCAACAACCTTATTGAAAGCCATGATGCAATCAGAGCTCGGTATGGTATTATTAGACTCCCCTAGGGTATTTTTTTTAAAATCATCTAGGATGGGAAAAACATTCATATAAAGTAGAATGCCATGACTCACTCTCCAATACCATGGAGATTCAATACAACCAGAAAAGAGTTAACAGCACAGCCACCCCCCCAGGAGTATTTCTGAGTTTCTCAGTACAGAGTCCCTTTCAATCTGGATGCCCATTTTTGTTATCTTAAAAGTATTTCTGGAACTTAGAGCCTGACTCCTGGCCAGCTTTAAACAAACAAGCAGGGAGAAATGCTTGTGTAGATAATGTGGTCAAGAATGTGCAGTTAATGAATCTTTCTAAGTTGAAAGGATTTCATTTTTAAACTCATTTCTTTAAAGCTAGTGAGCAGAAGAAAAAAGCTTCAGAAAAGTTAAATCACACAAGCATTCCAGCTACCAGCTTTGGAATAACACTCATTCAACTTAGCAAATATCAAACGTGGGAAGGGATTTATCTGACGCATCTATATGATCGTGTGAACTCCTTCCTCGAGGAGAAACGGTCTCTCTGCTGGAAACACAAGAGGAAGGAACTGTTTTCCCTTTTTCTTTTTTTAAAAAATACAACAACAACATAAGCAACTGTAACACATTAAATGCTTCCTGGCACAAGTACAAAAATGCAGCATCTGAAACGTCAGCTGGTATGCCAGGAGGATTTACATGATTGAAAAGATTTGTGAGAAAAACTATTTCACTAGATGCAGAACATCTTCTCGGAAAGAAGAAGCACCAGTGTGGAGGACGACGGAAAATGAGGGCAAAAAAATCTCCAACTGAAAGAAATGATCGTGCCTAATATGATCCTGCATTGCTTTTATACTATTACAAAACGGTGGGCCAGGCGCTCATCTGATTTTAAACGAGCAAAGCTCTGATAATTATGTCAGTTTAGACCCAGCTGAGGATGGGCTCTGGTTAAGTTTTAAATAAAAGGTCTCAGTCCTGCATGCTTGCTGCCACTGCTACATCTCCATCCAGCTGTGAAGTCACCCATAATAGTAAGGATACGTCTCTAAGTAATAGACTGGTGAACAGCTGTTTAGCAATCTGTGTTTCCCACTCTGCGTGGAAAGATGAACTAACTGAGCCTGCCATGACTCTCTGGTATATGCTAATTTTCTCACTTAACATACTGGCTCAACTAAAGCCACACAACTCGTCCTTGGAAGAGGCAGGATTAAATCCAGAAATCCCTGACTATTACTCCTACTATCGTTTCAATAGGGTCCGTTCTGCTGCAAGGATACAATAAGGCAGGCCAGCTGGATTTAGTGCAGGCTCTCACGGGAGATATGGGGTCGCAGATAGAGGGAGGGGAAAATATGTTTTTTATAACAAATTCTGTATCAGATGAGAACAAAATAATGAGAATCATTTTTTGCAAGTGCGTTTGGGTGATGCTTAGATTGAACACTGATTTGCTTTGTGGCCACCCACTTTTGAAGTGACTGCGTAAAAGTGGGGCACTTTGATGCCCTGCATAGTGCTGTGGAGATGCTCTGGCATCAAAAAGTAGCCTGGATTAGCATTGCCAGGTGGCACAGGGGGTGATACCTGGCTCCGCACCAACGTAATCTCACCGACAAGCATGGGGGAATTCGCCAAGCTCCAGCAATTCCTCCTGCTGCAAGGGTCCTCCTCGGGCAGTTACTACCAGCTCCTGTCAGAGGAGGCCGAAGGTGCCTCCAACATGTACCAGCGTGTTTGCAAGAGCCACAATGCCCTTTCCATGTAAGATCCGGTCCCTCAAAGGGCCCTGTCTGAGCACCCCATGGTATTTGCAGGGATATCATGTTCACCTGTTACAAAAGGACACCTTTCACTCCCTCCTCCTTTTTACTAACCATCTGTTGCTAGTCCCTTTCACGGTTCATTCGCAGATGTCACTGCAGAGCTTTTGTACAAAATATTCCCTCTAGTGTATCTCTGGTCTTAATTTTTTTAATGAGCTTCTTTTTATGTTATTTTAAATACTTTTCAATGTGTTTAAGTTTCACTAATGCTTCCATTAATAATGGGAAGAAACAGCTTGGTAACAGAATTCCAGGATATTGGATAAATATTATTTTTCTCTCCATCTGTTTTACCAATTACCTGACCTAAAGCAGCTTCCCGATCAAAGCACATGGTCTAACGTGAATTGAAGTCAATGAAAATGTCTCTGGTGACAAATGAGGACTTGGAGAAGACTGAACAAAGGTGTCCTATGAAAGAATATTCTGGCCATTCAGAACTGGAAAGACACAAGGATTACAACTCCTCTGTTATAACAGCAGTGACTCACACAGTTGCATAGTCATTTGGGGTGAAAAAGAAAATAGTTACTCAATCTCTTAGGGATTTAGACATAGAAGAATATATTATGCAAGCTTTAGCAGCATTAGTAATGGTCTTGAAGAGCACAACGCTACTATGACTCTAACTCAGCTCAGCAGATCACAAATAAGATGACTCACGTATCTATGACATGGTAGGAAAATAGTCTAAGAAGTGCAGAGGCAGGTGTTAACGCAGTCATAATGCACGCAGTCAAAGAAGATGAAACTTATAAAATCGTGAGCGAAGGACTGAAAAGCAAAGAAGCTTGCATATTTGGAGACTTGGAGACTTTGGAGATTGCATATTTGGGCTTGAGAGTGCAGACTATGCTGATTTCAAGTTGCAGGGGCTTGACAGTCTAAAGTAAGCCTCTAAGCAGAGAAGAACGAGGTGGAACATGCCCTGATTTCTTGTGCTTCTCTGGGGATCACAACAAACAGCACATGTTGACCTTTGAATATTACTGGTGTACAAATACCTGTACCTACAGCATTAGATCATACCCCAGTGAAAGTGATTTGGGAGATCCATAAACTTAATTATATTTGTACTTGTGAGGACTTTTTACGCTGCTGGAACATCATGATTGTGTAGAAACTATCAAGGGTATCCATTTAAAGACTAATTCAACCCACTAGCGGTTTCAGACAGCAGAATTTGGACCATTATTTCATGACTGACTTTCCCAGAGACGGAGGACTTTGAGGGCTATTTTCAAAGCATGGTTTAAGATCTGGATTCTTGAATATAGCTTAACCCACAGCCTGAACTAAGCAGCTGGAACAACAGTTCTCCCCAAAGAAAACTCTGTAATTCTTCATGCTCTGGAGATCCAATCAAAGGATAGTCATGAGTAGCGCTGAAAGCTAAACACTTCACAGAACAAAAGTCCAATAATTAGGAGGGGTATATTAAAAGGTTGATGCCATTGCCTCCACATTCTGAAATTTATGCAGGCCAAAGCACGGTAAAATGTTGAGATCTATATACAAGTCGGAGCAGCATCATTGGAGAAACACAGATTACCTACTATTTTTAAATTTTTACACTTGATTTGACCCAGGCATTCCAATTTGCACTTCCCTTGCAGCTGGCAGAAAGATTCTGGAAGGTCAAAGGATTATTCAATTATAACCCATATGTGGGATCTGTCACTTCTAAAAATACAGCCCATGCAGACCACAGACCCTCACATACTCCCGGGAACATGAGAGAAAGTTCTACATTTTTGTTATTATGGAAGGAAGACCTTTGAGACTAACAAAAATAGCACTAACGCACAAGCTCGAGTGACATTTTTTATTAGCTCAATAGCACAAAGAACTGCAGAGAACTACTTTCAGATGACTATATCTGACACGTTTCCTTTAACTGTTACCTAATTCCAAGGTCTTTATTTTAGGCCCTTCAAACAACTAACATATAGGATGCGTATGGGATGCACCATTTTATTCTGCTGTCAAAACTGATTAACATACCAGAGCAGGGTATTTTTGTACAAATTAGGATAACCTCCTGCCACGTCCTGTCTCGTTCCCACAGCTGACAATAACTAGGCTGACTTCATCCTTATCATCTCCTGTTAAACACGTGTGGTTTGAGATGATGCTATGCAGAATCAGAGGACTTTGATGTTGGGAAGTAAAATGAGCACTTGGAAATCCCTTGGACAGTGGAAGGAAAAAGCTTCGTACGTGAATCCTTTGTCCTTCCCTAGCATAATCCAGTGGAGGATCTCAGAGTCCCTAACAAACATATTAGTCTCATAAATTTCCTGTGAAGGAAACATTATTAGACTCAGGGTTTAGCTGAGTTTCATCACTGTATTAGTAATATACTTATGAAACAATTAACCCAAGATTACTGGGGAGGGAACACAGAATTTGGGACTCTGCCTTTATTTTGCATACGCTCACGTGCATGAAGAGTGGAGTGGCAGGGATCTGGCAAAAGCCTGCTTACAGATCCAGCTGGTGCACACAAAAGGATAAGAAAAATGCGTTAACAATAAGGCAAAGGCTCATGTCTCATCTGAAGGAAGCACAGTTTCAATGATTTATGGTGTGAAAGAAGCATGTATATTTTCATGAAGGATGCTGATTAAAAGAGAGATACTGTTAACATAGTCTTCATATACTCTTGAGTATTAACGCTGCTGGTGGAAAATAAGCGGCTGATTTATTAGATGTTCTTTGTCATTTCTTGGCGCTTTGAGGGAGCAGTAAAGCCGCCACTCTGATTACTTGTCCCCTTCTGTGGTGGAAGCCGTCCTTTCCGAGCGGACCGTGTGGGGGAAAGGGTCTGCCGCAGACCGGCTCGCATTGCCCTAGCC